ACCGATTCTCGTAACATTTGTTATTATTAGTCTTTGTTCACGCAGACAAAGGCTGTCCCAAATCGGTCCCAATGGTTATCTCCCAAAACCCCTACATCCCATTTCCCCTACAATTAGTTAAAACAACACGCGGCATTTACCTGTCTGGCATTATGAACTCACCTAAAGGAGAGATTAAGGTCTGGAGTAGAGGTAGTAGAAATGAAAGGGGTAGAGCTTTAGGGGATTAGGGGACTGAAAGGAAAGTTAAAAAAAATAAAATTAATGTAAGTGTAATGAAAGATGACAATTTTTAGAAATTACAAAAATAACAATAGGAAGAAACAATTATTACACTGAGAAACTGAGATGAGACGATTTACAGTTGAGATGAAAATGAACATTTTATTATAATGTATTATGAATTTTGAAAAATGAACATTTTAATATAATGTATTATGAATTTTGAAAAATGAACATTTTATTATAATGTATTATGAATTTTGAAAAATGAACATTTTATTATAATGTATTATGAATTTTGAATAATATCGTAATCGTAATTAAATATTTATCTCAATCTATTCGAGTTTCTTGGGTTGTTCCATTATATGAAATAGGTAACAGACTAGGGATTAGCAGTGCCATGGACCGTGAACTTTGTTGTCTTAAGCTGTAGGGGAAATGGGATGTAGGGGTTTTGGGAGGTTACCGTCCCAATGACAGTGGGTCCTGCCATTGAAGCGCATAATTGTGTTTTCTTCAAGTCAGCTACTTGTAGTAGATAGAGAATAGTTCATGTGATTTAAACAGTATTTTATTTCCATTAATGTTCAGATTGTACATTAAATAGCATTACAAAATGGAAAAAGGATTGGCAAACAGGCCAAAAAGGCCTATATTAATGCTTCTCCTAATATTGTACAATATACATGTAGATTGTAATGAAGTCTATAGAGCAGACATTAATGAGTAACACAAAATGAAATAAAATGGAAAGCAAGATACCAAATGCATTTTATATTCTTAAGTTGACACAAAACTTACGTAAAGCGGTTTGTTTCAATGATGTAATTGTGAACTGATTTTATAATGTATTCATTGTCTGAGGAAGATGAATCTTCATTGCCGTGGAGTATAGTATGTAAGCTGAGCTGGTTAACAAAAAAGTATTTATCAATTCTAAACTTGGCATAGCGTGGACAAGATAGAAAAAAGTGGAAAGCATCTTCTCTATTTAGGCCACATTGACAGATGGGATTATCAATCAGAAATCTGTCAAATAAATGTGATTTTAGTTCATGTGTCGATTGAAATATCACATTACTCCTATCGAGTGACGGGGGATGGGATTTTAATCACCCCCTGCATGATTACATTGCCCAGTGTGCTATAATTACAATTAACACTAATTTTATATATACTCGAACGTATATAAGCAGAGCAGCCAAGGATAAAAAATGAAATCATTTCAATATAAGAAAATAGAAATCATACCAATACAAAAACAGAAATTATGTGAATACCAAACTCACAATAGATATGTGTACCCTACTCACACACAGGAGTCCCAAAGAGGGACAGGTCAGCCGAAAATGCTTAGGAAGAAGGCGACCTCTTAAACACTTAATGCAACATCAACAACATCTTTTTATTACAGTTCGTGTAGAGGTTGAGCCTTATGGGGAATGGCGGGTGCTATCGGCAAGGCAGCACATATTTACCCTTTTCGGGAACACCTGGTATCACCCTGAATTTTAGTGATCCATTCGTGTAGTTTTCACCAGTCTGTCATACAGGCACTGAAGCAATTATATCCAATACAGCCCATGCAAGTCTAAATTTTTGCAAGTCTCGATTACTGTAGTATCAATGTAGAAAGTCAGATTTCACAGGCCGATTATCGTGGAATTACCACACCAGTAATGCACCAATGCAAACAGATACTAATGGGAGTCGTACATAGTTTAAAAACTTCCACTGATCTTTCACTCTGTACACTAATCTATAAAACCTTCTTAAAATCATTTGATACAAAATTTACTCCAATTCTTTTGTATGGAACAGAGGTCCGTGGTCATGCTGAATACAGAACTATTGAACTGGTCCATCTATATGGTTGATAACGATTCCTTGGCGTAAAAAAAACTGTACATCGAGTGTTATTGTGTATAGTGAATGTCGACGTGTGTAGAGGACCAATTTGACTAGCCGGAGTCAAAATGGGCCTAGTCAAAACGGGCCGTTACAGACGTGTACCACTTTACATATATCAACATGTTATAATTCTCAAGTATTGGTTCAAGATTCTATTCAATGCCTATTGATAGATTACCAAGAAAATGTTATTATATGATGTTATTGTATGAAAAACATGGAATTCGCAGACATAGAAACAGAGCCAGCGAATTGAGAATATGTGAGCAATGTGGTTTAAATGTGATTGAAGATGAGTTTCATTTTCTGTGAGTCTGCCCACAACACGACCATCCATCTAAGAAATAAATATTTTGAAATGCCTTTTTACGTACATCCAATTCAACAAAAAGTTATATCGATCATGTCAACAACTGATAAGTTGGTTGGTTGGTTTGTTGTTTAACGCCGCACTCAGCAATATTACAGCTATCCCGATCCCGTTAGTTGCCTCTTACGAGAAGCATAGTCGCCTCAACAACTGATAACGATACTCCCAAAAACAACTATCAATGTTCATGCACTTGCAGACCTCTTTATGACTTTATGATCTGGTCGTAAACTGAACATGCTATAGGCAGATACTTCTGGGGATTATAAAAAGGGGTATGCCACTTTGATTTACAGAAACTCAGCACACTATAGCCTGTCATATCGGCCATTGAACTCGTGCTAACAGCAGGCTGTAGCCGCCTCCAATAATGAATATGCACGTTTCTGAGTGATCACCAACCCGGTCTCAGTTCCACGACCCGGGGACCCAGGCGAGGTGTGTGCATTGGAGTGTATACACGCTTACATCGGCGGAACTCTCTCATCACACTGGATCCCGTAGCGGAGGGGGCAGGACGGACATCACAGCGAACAGAGGATTGTTACCGAATCTCACCATGGCTGGGCAGGTAGGTCTATCATTTAGTAATACATATTTGATGAAATACCTCATAATAGGAATATTTGGAAAATACAATGATTTTTTTTATTCTTTTGGTGTTACATGAGATTGATCATGTTCTGTTTTAAAAGAAATAATGACACAAAGAGAACGAAAAAGTTGTGTAGATAATCTATAATCCTCTTTTTGCTGTGTACAGTACAGTGAGTTTCAGTACAATTAAAAGTTGAATTTTTAATCCAAATCAGAAATCTCGCTTTGACCGAATAAAGATTTTGTTAAAATAAAAACTATCTGAGAGATAAATTCAAGTAATAATCATAATAAATAATTTCTCAATTTACAAAAAAATGAACTCATCAATCTAGACAAAACACAACGCCAGCAGGGCGATGTCGGTTTGAGGACAACATAGTCACTGCGATCATCTTATGGTCAAAATGGATTTCTTCTGATAAAATATTCTAATTTGGAAGATAGAAGAAGAACTTATATATACAAGCCCGCTTCCCTTCTCACGACACGATGACAGAGAACAGTAAACCTGTTGATAGACACACCCAATCTCATTTAAAATCAGATCTTAGATCTCGCTAGGCTACACCATAAATCTCAGGACATTCCATTTCGTGTCACGTCAGAGTGATCATTCTTCAACTTTGGCCGACCAATGAAATCACTGACATTATGTCGACATTAGCCAGTCGGGAAGCAGCTTTATCGAGATTTACGACTCTAGTTTCAAATGGCGATTTCCATTTCCAGATGACGCTTTGGAAACTGTTTTGACAAAGTTCTCGATTTAAAATTTGAAAACTGAACAAAAGAAAATTCTGGAATGTCTGATAGATGGCCGAGATTGTATGGCAGTATTTCTCACGGGCTATGGAAGTCTTCAGTTTCAAATGTGTATCTCATAGAACCACGGACCTATACAAGTCCGTGATAGAACCGAGAGATACACATACAGTCCGTACAGTCCGTGTTGTCGTTCGGATTGCCTGCCCCATGACCTTTCCGAGCTTACATGATTAGAAAACACATTCGGAGTTTCACTTTCGCTATGTGGTACTGACGCCCTGACTGTCGATGAAAAATCGTTCTGGCATGTACTGGGATATCCGCAGAACTTTTCATTATGCAACGGTAGCGAGCACGGAGACCTGATTATAATGAGTTTGTAGACAACCCGATTTTAAAAGGGTTGCAGCCATACGGTGTGGAAATGTCAACGCGAGAGACAGTCATCCTTGACTGTCGCCGTAACAGATTAAATATAGAGTAAGAGGCATGGTGACCCTTATGTTATGTATAATACCATGTATAAGACTGTTCCGTACAGTCCTGACAACAGGCTTCTTATGTATCTATTATTGTATTGTGTCTCATTAGCCTTATGGCTGGGCGTTACATTCAAATTATATATCCATTTATCATATATATACACAGCTTATGTGACGCGTGACACACAAATAAACTTTCTCCAGATGTGGAGATGGCAGGGAACAGCAAGGTCATAAAGTATTTACCGTCGTGGCGACGGACTCAGTATACAGTGACGTGACAATACCTTAGCTGTATGCAATATTTGCAGATGCATTTTAGGAGAATACCTGTCAGTGTATGCGCTGATTATTTGGCACATGTTTTACTACAATGAGCCAGAAACCATGAAATGTGCGTTCGTTCATTTTTTGACACAAGCAACCCCCCAAAAAACAAAACAAAACAAAACAAAACAAAACAAACCAAAACAAACCAAACCAAACCAAACCAAACCAAACCAAACCAAACAAAACCAAACAAAACAAAACAAAAAAAAACAAACCAAAACAAATAAACGGATGCCATTTAATTACTGCTAATAAGGTCAGGAAGTCTATATGAGGTGTGTGGTGCGGGGGTGGGGTTGCTCTGCTGTTACTTAAGTGACGGGTCACAGAATGGCGAGTTGTGGTGTCTGCGATTATATCATTCGGGCCACTGACCAAACTCAACCAAGTCACCAGTCCATTTCTCTGTTAAAACCTGATGTAAAAAAATGCCTCAAAGTACCGGAGTTTGCCTCTCAACATCTTCCCAGTTCAAGAAATATATATAATGGCTGATTGCTATGGGTGTCCACTTGTACCATGCATAAAGGGAAGCGGGCGAGTTAATCTGGTGAATACCTACATTCCCTTTGAAATGACAATGACAACGTTAATTAGTGATAGCTTTTTTCTTGTGCAAATAACCCAGGAAAGGGACAAGACACATGCAGCATGATGAACATAAAAGACAATTTGACTCCATGCAAATATACAACGTTATATGTTTTAACATGCAAACTTCTCGTACATTAACCGCCTTGTGTCTAGAACAGCCTGGTCAGGTGCGCACTTAAAGGATAAAGGAAGCCATCCAACTATAACTAGTGACGTGAAGATCTGAAGTAACACGTGATCTATAAACATCTCAGAATTCTCTTTCTGCACGAAATTACCCCTTAGACCTTACGTGCAGAAAACTAAGTGTTAAATTTACCAGTTTGGCCTTACCAACAAATTCCGTGACGCTAAAATAGCACAATCATATAAGCCTCGGTGTGAGATAAGCAGCGCTTGAAATGTCCGCTCGATGGCTACCTTTAAGGATTTGGAAAGTTGTTTACCCATCTTATGACCCATCTTGAAAAGCCATGCATAGCCAAGTGAACACAATGCGCTCAGCGTTAAAATGTAAGTCGATCTACGTATAACAATCATCCAGGCAACAACAGGGGTACATAGCTGTCAGTGGTTTCGTGTGTTCTTTTACTGGCAGGCGAAACATAGGATCTGGTCTCACGCTAAATTGGTCACTGTGGAATGGCCTTTGCCTTTTCAATTGACTTTGTTGTGGTTTACGGCCTTCCCATTGAATCCTATACATGATACATTCAATGCTCCGCATACTGACGCAGGTTTGCTCACAATCAAATGAGCGTTGTCACAATAAATAATGTTTTTCAATATCAAATATGCTCGCATGAGAGAAGACATTTCTTTTATATTTCTTTTATTTACGATCATGATACCAGTATGAGAACACCTCGAGGACAACCCGTTCATCAGAGTAAATGTATTATTGTACGACCCACCAAAACAAGGTTGTGTTTTTAAGCGATCTCGTCACGACAACTCGTTTAACAACTTGCTTACATAATCCACGTAGCTGTACCATTATCAACAATTTCTAAACCTCAGTTTCCCGTCCTGTCACAGTTGACAACACTCTATAATTCTACGTCACAATAGCAGCTCCGTCCTTCTCAAATGTGCCGGGCTTATTAATATGACTTTTTTTTCGAAAGTCAGACATACCTAAACATATAAAAATGCTGTTAACCCTTACATCTACAGGTAAACAGTTTCCGTTGCGCTATAATACGGCGCATCATAAGGTGGCCTAAGCCAGACTGAAATCATTCATTTCATGAAATTACAAAACCTGTCAGTCATTTCGTGAAGCTACTAATACGGCTAGTCAGTTCGTGAAGTCACTTAACATCTGAGTCGTTCGTGAAGTTACTAATATATGAGTTTCTGTTTTACATTCACTGACTGATAACATTTAGTAATTAACCTAATTCACGATCAAACAACTGAACTACTGATTACTACAAATAGTTGTAGCTTTTTAATTCGTCTGGCCCAGTTACTTTGGCCATACACAAATTGGTCTAAACTAGATTCACGGGAAGAGCCGATGCTCAGTGCCCATTACTTGGTCCCAATGCTAGGTCGACTGGATGACTCTCTGACAAGAAGTGGCTTCACACACAAACATATATCAATATTCGAAATCAAATCCTGGACTCGGGGAAAGAGGAAGGTTCAACCATTAGGCTCTCCTACAGGGAGGGAGCAGAGTTGCGTCCCTTTGGCACGCCAGAAACCTATGCTTGTGGGGTTCGAATTCAGATTCGCCCCGGTTGTGTTTCTAGGTTTGTCAGTACCATACCCGTGCTCGTGGGTTTCACCGAAGTGGTAAACGTCAGAGACCTGTGTCAGTTCGGGCTTTCCTCCCACATTAAGCTGAAACGCCGTGATATAATTGAAATAATGTTATAGGCGGCGTTAAACACAACTCACTGACTCATTTTGGAATGACATGTTTATTATTAATTATGTGGATTATATATGCCTGGTCAATATACTCACTTACAGTATCTTTAGGTGACATTTTAGAGGTTGTAGTAGCAAGTTGTATGAAGGAAGGGTTGCTTTAGATTTTAAGTCCTTTATTCGTATTTGTATACTTTGATTCTTTTGAAAGAATTAAGATCATGTACATGCCAATCATGTCTTCATCACTTCATCACCAGTGTTACCAGGATACCACGTCGTAATTACACCCCCTCCCCCGTCCCCCTCAACACATCATCACATACTCATTTACTCTCTCATTCACTCACTGATACAGATCCTATTTCCCCACTCTTTCACCCATCCTCTGTTGTTGCCAGGAGACGGAAGAGCGCGGCAACTGGAGCCGGAAGATGGACTTCATGCTGTCCTGTATAGGGTTCGCTGTCGGTCTCGGCAATGTGTGGAGGTTCCCTTATCTGTGCTACAGGAATGGAGGAGGTAGGTGTGGAGCCAGCTAGTTGTACCCAATGGCTGTCCAAACTGTCACTTCGGACTCATCTGAAACAGACAAATGTCACTTGAAGACTACTAATAGTATTACCAGTGTTCGAAATACCTGCCTGCCCGACCGTCCGAGACGGGTTGATTTCAACTCGGGCTGCCAGATTTTCAAATCCCCCTGCCCGACGGTCGGGTTATATTTCATATGTGAAAATATTCTAAATATTTCCCGATGATAAGCATTAATTCACATGTAAAGATGAATGATAAAATGTAACCAAAAAGAAACCCCGTTAGCTTATCCTGAGAAACATATGATTATAGTGGGCAGGCAGGTTTTGGTCAGGGCTGGCAAGTATTTCAGCTAGCCAGTCCTGTGGTCTGGCTGAAATTTTTGGGAGTTTCATACCCTGCAGTAATAGGCTATTATTTTGTCACAAATCCGCATTGGTATGTCCTGATGATCTAACATAGCCTTTCAATCTTCGTTCACCGTCTATATAAACAGCATGTATCGTGTCAACAAAGAGACATCACACTCACGCCTTTGATAAACCATCTACCACTAAAATTAGTAAAGATTCCGATTTTCTAGTTAGATAATAAATAGCATGTTCGACCGTGTAGAGATTGCATTCACAATTTACTGCATAGATGGTAAATTGAGGTCTACTTATTTTTTAGGTGTAAAAATGTGCTTTCAGGTGTAAGCAGCTGTTTTTCTGCTACACTTGTAGGTTCCACCCTGAAAACTAACAAGTTCTATGTAACGAGGGTTTGGTCTCGTGATGGCTGGCAAGGACGGATCTAACATTTTTAAAAGGGAGGGGTTTAAAACATCAAAATTCTCTCTCAGTCAGTTTTACTGCTTACAAAATACTACTGGTTTTTAAAGTACAGATTCGTGGTATCCCCACAGTCCCATCACCGACCTACATTCCGACATATTTGAAGATGAAGATGAAGATGATGAAAGCTAACAGATTCATTGTGGATATTCTGCTTGCTACCCGACCCTTTTGTCAAACACACGGATACACTCGAGTATAGTGACGGACACCTGACAGAGTTGGGTCAAACATGGATACACTCGAGTATAGTGACGGACACCTGGTAGAGTTGGGTCAAACATGGATACACTCGAGTATAGTGACGGACACCTGATAGTGAGTTGGGTCAAACATGGATACACTCAAGTATAGTGACGGACACCTGATAGAGTTGGGTCAAACATGGATACACTCGAGTATAGTGACGGGCACCTGATAGAGTTGGGTCAAACATGGATACACTCAAGTATAGTGACGGACACCTGATAGAGTTGGGTCAAACATGGATACACCCGAGTATAGTGACGGACACCTGACAGAGTTGGGTCAAACATGGATACACTCGAGAAAAGTGACGGACACCTGATAGAGTTGGGTCAAACATGGATACACTCAAGTATAGTGACGGACACCTGATAGAGTTGGGTCAAACATGGATACACCCGAGTATAGTGACGGACACCTGACAGAGTTGGGTCAAACATGGATACACTCGAGTATAGTGACGGACACCTGATAGAGTTGGGTCAAACATGGATACACCCGAGTATAGTGACGGACACCTGACAGAGTTGGGTCAAACATGGATACACTCGAGTATAGTGACGGGCACCTGATAGTGAGTTGGGTCAAACATGGATACACTCGAGTATAGTGACGGACACCTGATAGTGAGTTGGGTCAAACATGGATACACTCGAGTATAGTGACGGGCACCTGATAGTGAGTTGGGTCAAACATGAATACACTCGAGTATAGTGACGGACACCTGATAGTGAGTTGGGTCAAACATGGATACAGTGGAGTATAGTGACGGGCACCTGATAGTGAGTTGGGTCAAACATGGATACACTCGAGTATAGTGACGGACACCTGACAGAGAGTTGGGTCAAACATGGATACACCCGAGTATAGTGACGGACACCTGACAGAGAGTTGGGTCAAACATGGATACACTCGAGTATAGTGACGGACACCTGATAGAGTTGGGACAAAACATGGATACACCCGAGTATAGTGACGGACACCTGACAGAGAGTTGGGTCAAACATGGATACACTCGAGTATAGTGACGGACACCTGACAGAGAGTTGGGTCAAACATGGGTACACCCGAGTATAGTGATGGACACCTGATAGAGTTGGGTCAAACATGGATACAGTGGAGTATAGTGACGGACACCTGATAGTGAGTTGGGTCAAACATGGATACCTTCGAGTATAGTGACGGACACCTGGTAGAGTTGGGTCAAACATGGATACACTCGAGTATAGTGACGGACACCTGATAGAGTTGGGTCAAACATGGATACACTCGAGTATAGTGACGGACACCTGATAGAGTTGGGTCAAACATGGATACACTCGAGTATAGTGACGGGCACCTGATAGAGTTGGGTCAAACATGGATACACTCAAGTATAGTGACGGACACCTAATAGAGAGTTGGGTCAAACATGAACGAGATTCTCATCAACATCTCCTCGAGTACTTCGTGATGGTGTTGCAGTGGGTGTTGCGTGACGGGTACGTCGTGCCGAGGTACAAAACGTCAGATGTTTATGGACATTTGCACGTGGCAAATGGGTCCATTATCTGTAAATCTCTCCCCTCGAAAGATCTAAATGTGTGTCGCCATGTGTGACACCTGTGAATTCATTTGAGGTTGAAATAAAACTAAAACTAAAACTATAAAACTCCAGTCCAGCTCAATCCAACGTGCGATGAAGGGAAACTAGCGGTATAAAACAAGTCTTAAATCACCACGTCTAAGGACGAACACTCCATATATATGGAGTGGATATATACACTGAGATAGCATCCCCATGTAGGATATATATACTGAGATAACATTACACTGAGATGGCATCCAATGTAGGATATATATACACTGAGATGGTATCCAATGTAGGATATATACACTGAGATGGTATCCAATGTAGGATAAATACACTGAGATGACATCCAATGTAGGATATATACACTAAGATGGTAACCTATGTAGGATATATACACTGAGATGGCATCCAATGTAGGATATATACACTGAGATGGCATCCAATGTAAGATATATACACTGAGATGACATCCAATGTAGGATATATACACTGAGATGGCATCCAATGTAGGATATATACACTGAGATGGCATCCAATGTAGGATATATACACTGAGATGACATCCAATGTAGGATATATACACTGAGATGGTATCCAATGTAGGATATATACACTGAGATGGCATCCAATGTAGGATATATACACTGAGATGGCATCCAATGTAGGATATATACACTGAGATGGTATCCGCAATGTTGGTTATATACACTGAGATGGCATCCCCATGTAGGAAATACTCACTGAGATTGAGACTACGTCCAGTCTTTATTATTTCCACGAACCCTGACGTATATATGCCACCGAGATTATTGTGGGGGTATTTTGTCTCACACAAAGGACTTTTAGGAGTCAAGTGAGTTCGCAGGACACTTGACACTTGACATGAAATTGAAACCAACAATTAATGTCACCATAAACAGCACTTGGAGATATCCGAGTAGGGTTTAGCTGGGTGTAGTTGGGTGCAGCCATGTATGTCGGGTGTAGCTGGATGTTGTTGGGTGTAGCCATGTACGTCGGGTGTAGCTGGGTGTAGCTGGGTGTAGCTGGGTGTAGCTTGGTGTTGTCGGGCCTAGTTGGGTGTAGTCGGGTTTAGTTGGGTGTAGCCGGGTTTGGATGTAGCCAGGTGTGTCAGGTCTAGTCGGGTGTAGTTGGGTGTAGCAAGGTGTAGTCGGGTGTAGTCGGGTGTAGTCGGGTGTAGCCGGGTTTGGTTGGATGTAGCCAGGTGTGTCAGGTCTAGTCGGGTGTAGTTGGGTGTAGCAAGGTGTAGTCGGGTGTAGTCGGGTGTAGTCGGGTGTAGTCGGGTGTAGTCGGGTGTAGTCGGGTGTAGCTAGGTGTTGTTGGGTGTAGCCATGTATGTCGGGTTTAGCTTGGTGTAGTTGGGTGTAGCCATGTATGTTGGGTTTAGCTTGGTGTAGTTGGGTGTAGCCATGTAGTGTAGTCGGGTGTAGTCAGGTGTAGCCGGATGTAGTTGGGTGTAGTCGGGTGTAGTCGGGTGTAGTCGGGTGTAGTCGGTTGTAGTTGGGTGTTGTCGGGTGTAGTTGGTGGAGTCGGGTGTAGCAAGGTGTAGTTGGGTGTAGTCGGGTGTAGTCAGGTGTAGTCGGTTGAAGTTGGGTGTTGTCGGGTGTAGCAAGGTGTAGTCGGGTGTAGTTGGTGGAGTCGGATGTAGTCACCTGTAGTCGGGTGTAGTCAAGTGTACCCGGTGTGACTGTAGTCATCTGTTCCAGCCACCTTCCTCATCCCCTACCTCATCATGTTGGTCCTGGCTGGACTCCCACTGTTCTACCTGGAGCTCGCCCTGGGGCAGTTCGCCTCTGAAGGCCCTATCACGGTATGGAAGATCAGCCCTGCCTTTACAGGTGAGTTAAATGTACTACTACTACTACTACTACAACAACAACAACAACAACTACTACTACTACTACTACTACTACTACTACTGCTGCTGCTGCTGCTGCTGCTGCTGCTGCTGCTGCTGCTGCTGCTGCTGCTGCTACTACTACTACTACTACTACTACTACCACTATTACTACTGCTACTACTACTACTACTACTACTACTACTGCTGCTGCTACTACTACTACTACAACAACTACTACTACTACTACTACAACAACTACTACTACTACTGCTACTACTACTACTACTACCACTACTACTACTGCCACTACTACTACTGCCACTTTTACTACTGCTACTACTACTACTACTGCTGCTACTACTACTACTACTACTACTACTACTACTACTACTACTACTTCTACTACTACTACTACTACTACTTCTACTACTACTACTACTACTACTACTACTACTACTACTACTACTACTGCTGCTACTACTACAACAACAACTACTACTACTACTACTACTACTACTACTTCTACTACTACTACTACTACTACTACTGCTACTACCACTACTATTAATACTAATACTAATACTGTCACTACATATTTTTAAATGCTTGTTTTTAATGTTCTGTACAACTGTGCCGCTTTGTTGTATTGCTAGACTTGGAACAGTCTTTTTTCTTTTGCGAGTTATAACTTTTGTATGTACATGTTGCCGTTGTTATATGGCAGACGAGATTATTGTTTTGTCAAGAGTGTCAGTGGCAACAAATGATTGAAGCGCTAGTAAAAGGTCGAGTGCGGATTTGAAAAGTGACCATATTTGAACAGGAATTGTGATCAGAGAAACGTGCCAAGCTTGATCGGATGAGGATGTGAAAGTTTCAAGGAAGCTGGATGTACCTATATGAGTGCGACACAGGCGAACTGAGCACATTTACCACCTGACTTGTGTCTCCCCTACTTGCCAAGTGCGGATTGGATACCGATCTGAAAACACCGAATTTCTGCCAGCTTCCAACACTATTTAACAGGCCAAGGAGACAGGCCAGTCACAAGACATTCGACAGTGATTACATTCTGGAAATTCCTCAGTGCACTGGCCTATTATCGGGGTTGTGACCTATTGCTGCAGTTACCTATCTGACCCATTGTATTACCCGTCTCGAGTGTGTGCTTAAAACTATGCGTTCAAATATTTATTGATTGTTTATGGATCCTGCATGGTAATTTACTTACTCCAGAATTTAGCATTAAGAGCTTTCTAGGTTAACTTTTGCGCTTCAATTTGGAAACCATCATCCAATTAATACAGTTTAAACATGTTGCCAGTCTCTTTACTCACCTGCCCACTGATTTCCCTCACAGGTATTGGGTTCGGCATGCTCACCATCAGCGGCATGGTATGCATCTACTACAACGTCATCATCATGTACTCCATCTACTACATGTTTGTCAGCTTCGTCAACCTCGACGACACTGTTCCCTGGGAGACGTGTAACAACACGTGGAACACCATGGCGTGCAGGAAGGAGCCCTACCCTGCTCTGGACACCATGGACGAGGGCAACAAGACCATGACGTTGTTTGGTAAAGGACTAAATGATATTCTGGGGAATCGAACCCGGGCCTTCGATGTGACGAACGATGTAACCACCGGGGTGCCTACAGTCCAAGTCCCCAAACAGGTTAAATAGGGGTTGTAGGAACAGAGATAGACACAGTTGCAACATCAGGCGCAGGTTACATTAATGACTTATTCGTAGATGAATCATGGGGAAATGATGAGTTTTCAACGAGGCAAACATTTGTTTCTATATATCTATGAAATGATTCGATCCAGTAATTCAGGTAATGCAGTTTGAAATATGATAAAGCCAACGAAGCATATTTAATGAAGTACTTAGAAATCATGATGTGGTCCAATTATCCGGGGGGGGGGGGGGGGGGGGGGCGGTCGGGTAGCCTAGTGGTTAAAGTGTTCGCTCGACACGCCGAAGACCCAGGTTCGATTCCCGACATGGGTTCAATGTGTAAATCCCATTTCTGGTGTCCCCCGCCGTGATACTGCTGGAATATTGCTAAAAGCGGCGTAAAACCATACTCACTCACTCACTCACGAATATTGAATAATGATGGCGGTGTGTGTTGAAACCGGAATTCTTCACCTTGCCAGTTTACGGAAGCTAAAGCATAGGTTCCCATGAACACATTGCTTAGATGTTTTCTTACTACAGATGAGATCTACAAGAAGCCATGTGTAGAAAACCTCCTCCAAAACATCTCCGCCGTCTACAACACCAGCTTGACCAACATTACTCAGCTCAACTCCACCATGATACAGAACGACGTCACCAAGAACTGCATGATCAAGTACACCACGGCTAGTGCAGAATACTGGGAGTAAGAATTACTTGTGTTATTGTGTTATAAGTTCATGCCTATATGTCCATCCGAATTCTACATACACTTTATCTCTGATACAGATATACAAAAAGCAATGCTTTGATTCGCTGGGTATAGGATTCTGCAACTGTGTAATTCTGGACATACATGGAAATCTTCATCAACTAAACTTGATGTCCCTTTTATAATCTGACTACAGACAATTTCATTATCTCATCACTGCTGTGATATAAATGAGGATATCTGATATAAATGTGAGGTCTTTCGCGATCCAAAATGGTCAAAACTTGTTTCTGACCAAGATTTTGTGAGTTTCCGGATCAGTAGCATATGATGAGGCTTTCTTTCTGTGGCATCACCTCACGCGGCACAACATCGATAAAAAGGAAAGCATCTGTGATGTTTAATTCTTGTTTGTTGGTTCGCGGGTTGGTTTGTTGTTTAACGCCGCACTCAGCAATATTCCAGCTATATGTCGGCGGTCTGTAAATAATCAAGTCTGGACCAGACAATCCAGTGGTTGACACGAGCATAGATCCACGCAGTTGGGATCGATGACATGCATCAACCAAGTCAGCGAGCCTGACCACCCGATCCTGTTAGTCGCCTTTTACGACAAGCACAGTCGCCTTTTACGGCAAGCATGGGTTGCTGAAGACCTATTCTAACCCGGATCTTCACGGGTCTCTTGTTCGTAGTCAGGTTATTTCTCTCGTGACCACATTGTACATAACGTCTACTCGGAAAATGTGAAGAAACGGGTCTTTTCGCCAGGCTAAATACTTAAGCTGCGAAGCTTAATTACTTTTTGTTAGCAGTTTTATTTCGAATGTGTATACATCGGCTTGCTACACAAAGATTTCATATGATACACACACCTAAAAAACCGTTAAGCATACCTTTTCTTTATTTTCATCTCGAAGTGTATGTATCTTTTGGAAATATCTACTTATGACTTTGTTCTTAGTGTGATGACTGTCTGAATTACCATCAAAACGTGCTGGAATAAGAATGTATTATGTACTTTTAGTGACTGGAAAGTCTCCATTTTGTCGGTAATGTTGGCGTTATTCCTTTGTTGTGGATACGGATTCTTGTGAATCTAAAATATCTACACTCATGTATTCAGGCATGGTAATATATTATCTGTGAACTGGCACATATATGACACAGGAACACGACCTCCTTCCCAACTGTTTTCGAACACTTGCGTCCTTCAAATCTTCACATTACAGGTGACCGCCTCCGTGGTCTAACGGTAGAGCGTCCGCCCGGAGAGCGGAAGGTTCGGGGTTCGATCCAAAGCCGCGTCATACCAAAAGACGTTAAAAGATGGTACTTGTTGTTACCCTGTCTGGCGCTCGGCATTAAGGGGCTAAAACAAGGACTGGTCGGCTCGGAGTCAGTATACTGTGTCTGAGCGGGATATTCATGTTAAACTGCGGCATGGTATCTCAGTGTGCTAGCACTAGAAATCGGCATCAGTCCTAGCACGTCGCTATATAAGTGCAATAATCTTGGACGCGACGTGAAACCCCATTCCACCACCACCTCAAATTGCAGGTGATCTCAGCTGATGCGACTTAAATAACTGTCATTCGTGGTCGTGGTAGAGATTTTACGCGCGCTTCAAATTTCCTACCCTTATACTAGGTGTTTCTGTTACTGCTAAATTTGAGTAAACATTGTGAACGAAATGATGTATCACTAATACCTTTCTCACGGGAAACAGATGTTTAGATACGGGAGGTAGCTTATGACGTTCGAACTCACCGGATGTTATCGTGTCAATGACGTGATACGCGAAGTTAATAGTCGAGCAGACGAAAATTAACGAACCCGCAAAGGATTCTTTTGGGACGATGAAGAGGGTTGACGGAATCCGAGTTATGTACATTTCACTCTATTTAATTTAGAGAATCGATACTTCTTTCCTTGCGCAGTGAGTCAGTCATATTAGTAACATGAACACAGATTGTAGATAGTAATTATTGAGGGGTGGTAACCACGGAAATCATCTGTCGAGTGAGTGAATGAATGAGTGCTGATAGTTTTACGCCGCTTTTAGCAACAATCCAGCTATGTTACGGTGGGGGACACCAGAAATTATACCCATGTGGGGAATCGAACCCGGGCCTTCGATGTGACGAACGCTGTAACAACTAGAGTGCTTACAGTCCCAGTTCCCAGGTTGAATAGGGGTTGTAGGAACAGAGATAGACACAGTTGCAACCTCAGGCGCAGGTTACATTAATGACTTATTCGTAGATGAATCATGGGGAAATGATGAGTTTTCAACGAGGCAAACATTTGTTGTCTCTGTTTATATATACTGTGCACGTTGATCGCATTTCAGTAGCTAAAGGGGGATAACTCTTCAGAGCTAGTTTGTCCGGATTTGCAGTTTGTTTTTTGTCTGTGGTGGCAATTTATCTAAACTGACCTGATGTTCTTATAAGCGTAGGGGAGGCACGTGGTTCTGTGCGTAGCGCACAAGTGATAAATCAGGTGAAGTTACACAACGTCGGTCGCGGTGAGTCCTTGGATGGGTGACCGCGTTTCAGCAGCCTGGCTCTTGAGTGTGTCTTGGGCTTCGGTCCTGCCCCACACTGAAGCACATGTAACCCATGTATCCTTGGGCAAGTGATATTTTTCTAAATGTGCCTCTGTTCACTCAGCATAGAATGGGTACCCGGTAGGATGTGGTTGTTAACCTTTTTACGCCTAACAGGCAGCTTGGGTTGTGTGATCCCCAGGGAGCTGAGAATGATTCTTGAGTGCACACTGATCCAGTGACCGGGGTAATAATAGAGTTTCAGCATGCCCCTGTGTGGTGGAAATATGCACGTTATAAACGGCCTGTTATAATACAGTGGGTCATACTTTACATTCCTCTTGCAGGCGTTATGTTCTCCGTGTCCACGAAGCTGATGGCTTTGAAGATATGGGCGGCTTCAGTTTGAAGAACGCCGTTACGCTGTTCTTCGCCTGGCTCCTCATCTTCTTCTGTCTGATGAAGGGAGTCAAGTCATCGGGCAAGGTAGAGTGTTGCCTGACTGTTGTGACGTCACTACATGTCCGCTAACCGTCACACTTTCTCTCAATTTCCCCTCCAATCACTGCACCCACAGCAAGTCGTTCAGCAGCGTTAAAATCCAGATCTTTTGTTCGAATCCCAAATTCACCCTGATTATGATCCTTGGTTTATGAGCACCACATCTGTGCTCGTAGGTTTTTGCTATACACATCGATCGCGATCTTCGTCACTATGGGATTTCCTCCCACATTAAGCAGACCCGCCGTGATACACCAAATACAGTTCAAAGCGTAACGCTCACTAACTCACATTGATATCACAGTCATCTTATTTTCACAGGTTCTCTTTCATTATTCACGAGCTCATTCACTGACCTCTTTATACTCATGAAGGAAAAGGGTGAGTGAGTGAGTTGAGTTTAACGCCGCTTCTAACAGCATTCCAGTTATATCAAGGCGTGTCAGCTTAATGTGGGAGGAAAGCCCGAAGTGATGCAGGACTTGTGTTACGTTGGTGAAACCCACGAGCTTGGGTGTGGTGCAAACATACCTACAAACGTGATCGCGGCGAACCGGGATTAGTACCCACGATCATAGGTTTCTGGCGTGCCCAAGGGAGGCAACTCTGCACAGAGTATTGCGGCGCCTTTGACGACAGGGCCAATCGATGAAGGGACAAGAAGTAGCAAAAATAGATCGTGACAAAATAGAAGTTGCTAGCCCTAAAACAACCTTCGTGTTTCAAATTCAACAAAACTCTAAATGCCAATCAAAGCATTAGTGCGGCGTAAATCAGCATTCACCCACCCATGCATGTGTTCCAGGTCGTGTACTTCACCGCCACCTTCCCCTACGTCATCCTCATCGTCCTTCTGATCCGAGGTCTCACCCTGCCTGGCTATGAAAAGGGAATCGCGTTCTACATGATCCCTGTCCCCGAGAAGCTGAAGAACGCTAAGGTGAGTATTTCGTCCATTCAGGATTGTGTACAACTCTGCGTGATGTGCCTACGTATTGATCAGTAACCTGTAGGTTCGCCCCGTTTCTATCTGTCGTCTATATGTAACCCCACCTCTTAATCCGTCTGTATGTCACTCCACGTCGTAATCCATAGTCTTTAGATAACTCCAAGATTTAATCCATAATAAGTCTGAAGGTAAACATCTGACACCACGGTTGATTCTTCACATCAGCAGAATATAGGAAGCTTGCAGCTGTTCATGAGGTCATACTTTTGCTGCATTATTACGTATAGATCGTATATGGAGCAATCACCAGTTCATAGTTACTGTTTAAACTTGTCTTACATAACACAGGACTGAAACGACCTGTACTTGTATGAGAATTGGCACGGATTTCTTCCCTCATGTCTTCAATGAGCAGTTTAAGCATTCCACCGCAATCAATAATTGACATGACTGAATGAGTTGGGAGATGGGCTGTACAGAACAATAATACCTATGGTTTTGGGACTCGGGGCTAGAATTGGTCAACCATGCTGGTTGCAAGAGACTACTTAATGGCTCTGTTACTTTGCTGGGGGCGTGTCATCGAGCACTGACGATCGGTGTTCACAATATCAATCACTGGATTGTTTGAACTCTGTTTGTTTGTTTGTCTTTGCGTGTAGGTATGGGGAGACGCTGCCAGCCAGATCTTCTACTCTCTTGGGCCAGCATGGGGCGGTCTGCTCACCATGTCCAGCTACAACAAGTTCAAGAACAATTGCCAACGGTGAGTGCTGGTTCGAGTCCCTCCCACACTGACCCTTCTACCCATGGTAATGTTTAGTATTGACATGACCCTTCTACCCATGGTAATGTTTAGTATTGACATGAACCTTCTACCCATGGTAATGTTTAGTATTGACATGACCCTTTACCCATGGTTATGTTTAGTATTGACATGAACCTTCTACCCATGGTAATGTTTAGTATTGACATGAACCTTCTACCCATGGTAATGTTTAGTATTGACATGAACCTTCTACCCATGGTTATGTTTAGTATTGACATGAACCTTCTACCCATGGTAATGTTTAGTATTGACATAAAACCTTCTACCCATGGTAATGTTTAGTATTGACATGACCCTCCTCCCCATGGTAATGTTTAGTATTGACATGAACCTCCTCCCCATGGTAATGTTTAGTATTGGCATGAACCTTCTACCCATGGTAATGTTTAGTATTGATATGAACCTTCTACCAATGGTAATGTTTAGTATTGACATGAACCTACTACCCATGGTTATGTTTAGTATTGACATGAACCTTCTACCCATGGTAATGTTTAGTATTGACATGAACCTTCTACCCATGGTAATGTTTAGTATTGACATGAACCTTCTACCCATAGTAATGTTTAGTATTGACATGAACCTTCTACCCATGGTAATGTTTAGTATTGACATGAACCTTCTCCCCATGGTAATGTTTAGTATTGACATGAACCTTCTACCCATGGTAATGTTTAGTATTGACATGAACCTTCTACCCATGGTAATGTTTAGTATTGACATGAACCTTCTACCCATGGTAATGTTTAGTATTGACATGAATCTTCTACCCATGGTAATGTTTAGTATTGACATGACCCTCCTACCCATGGTTATGTTTAGTATTGACATGAACCTTCTACCCATAGTAATGTTTAGTATTGACATGATCCCGGGATGACTTTACAGGGATGCTGTTATCGTAGCGCTGATCAACTGTGGAACAAGCATCTTTGCCGGGTTCGCCATCTTCTCCCTGCTTGGGTTCATGGCTCACATCACTAACAGACCTGTGGAGAGTGTTGTTGACTCAGGTAATTTGTGCACCTTTGCCATAGAAGTATTCACATTGTGTTCGTGTACATCATATACTGGCCGCCTCCGTGGTCTAGTGGTATAGCGTCCGTCCGGAGAGCGGAAGGTCCGGGGTTCGATCCCCGGCCGCGTCATACCAAAAGACGTTAAAAGATGGTACTTGTTGTTACCCTGTCTGACGCTCGGCATTAAGGGGCAAAAACAAGGACTGGTTGGCTCAGGGTCAGTATACTGTGTCTGAGTGGGGTATTCATGTTCAACTGAGGCATGGTATTGGCATCAGTTCGGACTAGTACAAGCAGCCACACACACATACACGTCCATGCACGTCGCTATAAAAGTGCAATAATCTTGGACGCGACGTTTCACCTCACCTCACCAACATGTACAGGAGAGGTTTATTATGGCACAGACCTAAAGTATTCTACTCACCATTACTTCTACATTGGAACCTCGTTATTCCGTGCCCCGTTAGTCAGGAACGCTGCCATGCCGGACGAACACTGTCCTGCTGGACAATGTAAAAGTACTGGGAGATTTCGACTTTTATGGGATTCGATTTATCTGGACGATTTGCATAGATATGACCCCGTCCGAATTTACAGGATAACAATATACATGACACATTGCAGAAAATGCTTAGTGTAATTCTAAATACGCAAGGGCGACAGATACATTCCACAACATCAATGAACACATACTATTCAAGTCAACACACAGCACGATAGTCAACACACAACAAAGCAGTTAACAAACACACGCTCATCCTCTCCTTCACGTGAAGAGGGGGCAGATGGATGATGGCCCAGCCGTCTTAGGCACCGCAATTTGATGTGCAGAGTTGCGTCCCTAATGTGTACCAGGATCCTCTGATCGTGGGTTCCCTGATCATGATTCTTGGTTTCACAGCACTAATCGTGAATCGTGTGTGTCTTCAAAGTGGTGAACGTCTTAAACATATCTGTCATAACGGAAACACTATTAAAAGCTGCATTGACTAACTCACTCACTTAGCGAAAGGTCCTATTTTTCTATTCGGTGTGGAGTGTTTATATTGAAACTTTTATTTCCTTTGAAATAGGTCCCGGCTTAGCGTTTATTGCCTACCCAGAAGGCATTGCACAACTTCCGGTGTCTTCTATTTGGGCCTTCATGTTCTTCTTCATGTTGCTGACGCTGGGCCTTGACAGCCAGGTAGGACACGTCGCCATCACTTGCTTAAAATGTACTCCGATATATTGGCATATTGATATATTTCATACTATTTACAACTGCCCTTTCTATGTTGAAAAGTACATGTCTTGTAGGTGCTGAGAGTGCAACGTTACTTGCATGTTCGTCATGTACCTCAGATACCGTTGTGCAGTAGGGTAGCCAAGTACATAAAGTGGTCGCTGGACACACACAACTCCCAGGTTCCATTCCTAACATTAGTACACTCTGTGAAACCTTTTCCTTGTATTCTCTGTCATGGTACAGCAGGAATATTGCTCACCAACCCTCTTTATATACAGTTCGTCATGATGGAGACTGTCATCAGTGGTATCTCCGACGTCTTCCCGAAATACCTCCGGAAACACAAGGCACTCTTCACCCTCTTCTGCTGCCTCATCGGTTTCCTCCTGGGGCTGCCTCAAGTCACAAAGGTACGGCCAAACTCACTGATTCTATGTTTATATTTTTGAAAAACGATGAGTGGGAGTTGTTTATTGTACAATAAAATACTGCAGGGAGGCCCCGAGTGTTTTATTCATCCCTGCAGTGTTTTACTGTACGATAAAGGACGGCCACAAGTGTTTTATTTCTCACATGAGATATGACTTTGCACTGCCTCTTTAAGGATGATGGTAAAATAAAAATATTTACTCTTATTTTAATATTAAGAATAGTGAGAATCTGACCCCGGCAATGTCGGACAAGTCCATTTCATGCACTATATATATTCTCTTTTCCTGTAGGGTGGTATTTACATGCTACAACTGATGGACTGGTACTCTGGCAGCTACAACCTGATGCTGGTGGCTCTGGCCGAGATTATATGCATCATGTACGTCTATGGTGAGTGACGTCAAGTAATCGTATGAACATTGTTAGGCATCGGACTCCCCTAGACGCGTTTATGAAGTACTCAGTTTCACCCTGGGAAATACCTGTTTAATAACTAGACTGTTCCACTGAATGCGTCTGTAGTTCAATGCATCAGACATGACACTCTCGACATTTTGAGGGCAACTGTACATTATCAGGCAAATGTAACTCATGAATGACGTCGGTGAGTTTCAGAATTTAGTAGTTTTCTTGTTTTGAATATACAGCACCGTTGTGGAAAAAGTGGCACAGATGTAACTCTCGTGGATGTCAGGATCTGTTTGAGGTGGATTTGAACTCCCGAATCGATGACAATAGGATCCTTTGTCTGTCCATGTGCATGCTGTGCAGTGTTGCTTTGCACTCTCACATTACAATGACATACTATTCAAAGAGACATTGAACAGAACGTGATCCTCCAATATTGACAGTTGACAAAATATTGGAAATCAAAAGTATAAAACATGTTCTACGAATGTTATTATATTTGGTTACAGCAACATGTAGATATGCCACAGCATTTCTTCACCCGTTTGACACATACCTCAAAAGATATGTACATCCATAAATGGCATGGTTCCTTGTCCAGTTCTAGAAAAGCAAATTACTACACTACTTTTAAGACTACTATTATAATAGAACCTTATCTATTAGGTGCCAATTTACATAAGTATAGAACCGCTCTTTCTTGATTTCGTTGTGTCTCACATAATCAATGTAGTGGAACAGGCAGATATGAAGGTATTGCAAGAGAACATAGACTTTGTAGGATTTGTTAAACTGATTATATTGGAGATGAGTATCACTTTGTATGTGCATGTCCAGCTTATAATGATTTAAAGCAAAATATCTAAATAACTGTTTCTACCACAACCCAAATGGTAACACATTTCGTAAATTAATGGGGCGGTCGGGTAGCCTAGTGGTTAAAGCGTTCGCTCGTCACGCTGAAGACCCAGGTTCGATTCTCGACATGGGTACAATGTGTGAAGCCCATTTCTGGTGTCCCCCCGCCGTGATATTGCTGGAATATTGCTAAAAGCGGCGTAAAACCATACTCACTCACTCACTCACTCGTAAATTAATGACATGTGATTGTACAGAAACTATGAGACATTTATCAATGTTCATTTATCATGCAATGAAACTAAGAAAATGTATGAATGTGTAACACGCCCCAGACAATGTACTGTTGGCCTTTAGCCTCATCAGTACCATGACTAAAGATTGATTGACAGTTGATGTTATTTATCGTTTTAATCCTAATGTTCACTTTTCCCAGGCTTCAGGAACTTCATGTGTGACATCGAGATGATGGTCGGCAGTAAGCCCAATATCTACTGGCTCGCCAACTGGCTCTTCCTCACGCCCGTTGTTATTATTGTAAGTAATCAAAATACATTGCAGTATAATTACTGAAACCTAACTCGGTTTATAATGCCAGCTGACGCACATCACCCGATGTCTCAACACTTATTTTTTTCATGGCATTTTGTCGATTTACTCGTGTCATAATATTAGAAGCCTGTTCTAAATCCTCGATTCTGCTTTCCTATGTTAAACTGTCCTCACTGCTCTGGATGGTCTCTTCTGGTATCCTCTGTTAAACTGTCCCCACAGCTCCAGTTCTCTTCATCCGATATCCTCTGTTAAACTGTCCCCATAGCTCTAGTTCTCTTCCTCCGGTATCCTCTGTTAAACTATCCCCACAGCTCCAGTTCTCTTCCTCCGATATCCTCTGTTAAACTGTCCCCAGAGCTCCAGTTCTCTTCCTCCGGTATCCTCTGTTAAACTGTCCCCATAGCTCTAGTTCTCTTCCTCCGGTATCCTCTGTTAAACTATCCCCACAGCTCCAGTTCTCTTCCTCCGATATCCTCTGTTAAACTGTCCCCAGAGCTCCAGTTCTCTTCCTCCGGTATCCTCTGTTAAACTGTCCCCAGAGCTCCAGTTCTCTTCCTCCGGTATCCTCTGTTAAACTGTCCCCATAGCTCTAGTTCTCTTCCTCCGGTATCCTCTGTTAAACTATCCCCACAGCTCCAGTTCTCTTCCTCCGATATCCTCTGTTAAACTGTCCCCAGAGCTCCAGTTCTCTTCCTCCGGTATCCTAAGTTAAACTGTCCCCATAGCTCTAGTTCTCTTCCTCTGGTATCCTCTGTTAAACTGTCCCCATAGCTCTAGTTCTCTTCCTCTGGTATCCTCTGTTAAACTGTCATCACGGCTCTAGTTTTCCCCCTCTGGTATCCTGTGCTAAACTGTCATCACGGCTCTTGTTCCCCCCCTCTGGTATCCTGTGCTAAACTGTCATCACTGCTCTAGTTCCCCCCCTCTGGTATCCTATGCTAAACTGTCATCACGGCTCTAGTTCTTTTCCTCTGGTATCCTATGCTAAACTGTCCCCACTGTTCTAGCTCTCCTCCTCTGCTAGCATCTCATGTTAAATTTCCCTTCTCGTTTCCCTACTTCATCTCGTTTGGTATCCGATGTTAAGCGTTCCTTATCTCTGTTTTAGTTCATCGTGGTGATGTCGGCCACCCAGTACACGCCTGCCTACTACGGCGACTACGTGTTCCCTGACTGGGCTCAGGGCCTAGGATGGTGCATGGTCGTGTCTCCAATCCTCTGGATCATCATCATCATGATCATTCAGGTCATCCGATACGGACCGGTGAGTACAGACAAGGGAGTTCTAGGAAGATTTACATAGTACATTAGTGGGGCGGTTAAGGAGAAAATTGTGCACATTGGGTTGAAAGCACCAGACCTTGCACACTTATAAATTGAACCATTCGGAACACTTCTGGATATGGATCCACCTCAGCAGCGCCTCCTGGTGGTAGAAAATCCAAGATGGCCGCCAAAATGATGCCAATCTATGCTCAATATATCATAATTATCTCGTCAAGGTACACTTATATCCATAGTATTATGAATTAATTGCAACAATGCTGTATATAATTCAAGTATAATTTGCAGCGGTCCTTGGTGATAGAAAATTCAAGATGGCGACCAACATGGTTTAAATCTCTTATGATGCCAATTTATACTCAATATATCATTGATTAACTATCTTGTCAAGGTATCCATATATCCATATACAATTCAAATCTGGTATGCAGCGCCCCCTGGTAGTGACAACAATCCAAAATGGCCTTAAATTCAAAATGGCCTTCAATATGTCTTAATTTTCAGAAATTGTCCATTTCTACAGCAGATATAGATATTATTTGATATCTTTTAACTTCGGATAAGTTGATAAAAATTACATGGTAGAAATGACTCTATTTATTATTATATAAATGGTAAAATAAGAAATTTTCTCCCAAGTATTTAAAAGATGTCTTGCTTAGAGAACAATTTAATGAAGGCATCTATTCATTGACAAAGTGCAGCTTTCTCCTTCACCGTCCCTCCATACTTGTACTGAATTCCAGCTGCGTGTTAATCAAAGCGACAAAACCCTTTCTTTAATTATACGAAATCGATTGTACGATTCCGACTGTATTATGAGCTAGTGTTTATGAATCACAGTCAAACAGAAAGATTACTAGGTATTGGCGAAAAGGTGAGCCTACCCTATCGCCGGTACCCGTCAACATGCAAAGACAGGTATGGAAGCAGTGAATACCATGAAACGGTACCCGCTCTCTCCAATGTGTCTTTCATCTCACTTGATGTATAATGAAACAATTCCGTGTCCCTATCTAGGCCAAGGCTTTCCGAGCGACACCAGGTTGGGGACCCGCTAACCCTGAAGACAGGACCGGCAGATACGCCACCACCTCAACCTTCGACGACGTCATTGTCGAAAAGCCACCATTGCCTTACACAAATGGAGGCACGGAAAATCCAGTCTTCTACAGCGAAAAGCTGTAATGTAAGACTTCCAGTGGACGACCAGTAGGAAACGACTATACTGGACTCAGGAAATACTCAACATCCAAACCAGAGGATTTATGGAAACGTTACAAACTGGGGCTGAGAAAATCTCGTTCGCCACAATGTACTCAGTTTTCGCTCATTTTCTATTTTGCTTATTTTACTTTGAAATACTCAATTGTCTCTCAATAACCATGTACAGGTAAAATGTCACTTGAACTGATTTCGATGACGGGAAAATAGTCCAACACAAGAGAAAATATGGATATGGATTTCATTGACTGTTTGGTTTGGGTTGTTAGAAACATATTTTTTTATCAGATGCTTCGTGTTTCATGTTTGTTCATATTTCAATATATAGACTTTCTAAACATATGATAGGGATACACTTATATCTATTACATTTTGGTAAATCACTGTCCTTGACTTTGTTGAGCAAGATGGAACATGACAGACTTACTAATGGAACATGAATATAAAGGCCATATGTTTATGGCCACTGTTGAATCATTGTAAAATGACAATGCTGACATCAGGTTTCACGGCTGGGCATATCCTATCATATCTACATCACGCTTTATGAACTTGAATTCAACTTTTTATTCCCATGCTATATGCATATATCATGTTCTTCTGGTGTGAAGTCAGGATGACATATCCCTATCATATGTTGAGTAATATCACACTATATGTCAAAGTGCGCACATGTATGTACATACATCTCTGTCGTGATCTTTATGAGTTAAATATAGGAAAGCAATAACACTTATGTATATACAACATATAAATATATGTATTCAACTTTAATATAATTAGTTTAACTTGAGGTTACATTTGTCTATTTGCATATTTCAGTATCCTGAATATTCTGTGCCACCTTCCCTGGCAACATCCATCCAAATGGAAAACTAACTGAATCTAATGTTTCATCTTTCAAATTTACCATGTGACACTATTTATATTCATCGTGGATGATTATTTCTATGTTCTGTAAAAGTCCGTGATAAGCACATTGTAATTTGTGTTTGTTTGTCTAATTGTTCTAAAATTTATTTTGTAAAAAAAGCCATTGTCAGCACATACTATTGTTTGTTGTTATCTTACTTCTGACCTGACTACGTACCACAAGTCGACAAAAGACTACAAAACTCAAACCAACTCATCGCCGATGGCAACGCTCAGCTCAATATCATGCCAGTCAACAGAAACAAGTGATATCACTGTTGGATTTCACTTGGGGTAATGATAGGACACAGATATAAAGGAAACTTCACACATTCGTTGACAAGGGAGACAACTCCACCATTACTTCCGGCCGATTCTAACCAACGAGCTTGTTGTAGCTAAAGGCCAAGGACACCGTGTGACGGCTACAGCACATTTCTTCCGACAATGAGCAGCAAAACATCTCCGCTACTGATATCGTCCACCTTTGTTTTTTGTCTTTCATAAATACAGCCAACTGGTACGATCACTACCATGATACAGTGTTAATGAAAAACAGACCCTTCGGGTCAGAACAACTTGAACTCAAAAGCAGTGAATAATAATGTTATCTTTGTCCGAATCAAAGTTAGTCAAAACAACCTCCACCCTATACCAGGATACGATTTATCTGAGATAAAATTGGCGTGATTGCCTGCGGGGAATATCATACGATTAAGTATGTCCAGAACGACTGAGTCAAATACACCAGATGCTGACAGTGATATTAAACAATAGTTTTCAAACTAAGAAACAATAACACCAACAATATCAAGTGTTAGTTGTTCGTGCAGATGCAATAATATTTTTGACCAGTTAGTAAAAATCGTGTTTAGATAGGATTATGTCGAAGTAATGCCAAACGTAATTATATATTGTGCGTCAAGTGAAAAGTCTTTCCAACTTGGCCAAATTCCAGTGGCCAGATCACAACACGATCTTTCACGACATAACCAAGTACCTTCCAGAGCGTTATAAAGAGTATATAGATACACAGACAAGCCCCTGGTGTAACAGTGGTCACGTTTAGATACACACACAAGCCCCTGGTGTAGATGTGGCAACTTATAGATACACAGACAAGCCCCTGATGTAGATGTGGCAACTTATAGATACACAGACAAGCCCCTGGTGTAACGCAGGCCACGAATAGATACACAGGCAAGCCCCTGGTGTAGATGTGGCAACTTATAGATACATAGACAATCCCCTGGTATAGATGTGGCAACTTATAGATACACAGACAAGCCCCTGGTGTAACGCAGGCCACGAATAGATACACAGGCAAGCCCCTGGTGTAGATGTGGCAACTTATAGATACATAGACAATCCCCTGGTATAGATGTGGCAACTTATAGATACACAGACAAGCCCCTGGTGTAACGCAGGCCACGAATAGATACACAGGCAAGCCCCTGGTGTAGATGTGGCAACTTATAGATACACAGACAATCCCCTGGTATAGATGTGGCAACTTATAGATACACAGACAAGCCCCTGGTGTAACGCAGGCCACGAATAGATACACAGGCAAGCCCCTGGTGTAGATGTGGCAACTTATAGATACACAGACAATCCCCTGGTGTAACGCAGGCCACGAATAGATACACAGGCAATCCCCTGGTGTAGATGTGGCAACTTATAGATACACAGACAAGCCCCTGGTGTAGATGTGGCAACTTATAGATACATAGACAAGCCCCTGGTGTAACGCAGGCCACGAATAGATACACAGGCAAGCCCCTGGTGTAGATGTGGCAACTTATAGATACACAGACAAGCCCCTGGTATAGATGTGGCAACTTATTGATACACAGGCAATCCCCTGGTGTAGATGTGGCAACTTATAGATACACAGACAATCCCCTGGTGTAACGCAGGCCACGAATAGATACACAGACAAGCCCCTGGTGTAGATGTGGCAACTTATAGATACACAGACAAGCCCCTGGTGTAACGCAGGCCACGAATAGATACACAGGCAAGCCCCTGGTGTAGATGTGGCAACTTATAGATACACAGACAAGCCCCTGGTGTAACGCAGGCCACGAATAGATACACAGGCAAGCCCCTGGTGTAGATGTGGCAACTTATAGATACACAGACAAGCCCCTGGTATAGATGTGGCAACTTATAGATACACAGACAAGCCCCTGGTGTAACAGTGGTCACGTTTAGATACACAAACAAGCCCCTGGTGTAGATGTGGCAACTTATAGATACACAGACAAGCCCCTGGTGTAGATGTGGCAACTTATATATACACAGACAAGCCCCTGGTGTAACGCAGGCCACGAATAGATACACAGGCAAGCCCCTGGTGTAGATGTGGCAACTTATAGATACACAGACAAGCCCCTGGTGTAACGCAGGCCACGAATAGATACACAGGCAAGCCCCTGGTGTAGATGTGGCAACTTATAGATACACAGACAATCCCCTGGTATAGATGTGGCAACTTATAGATACACAGACAAGCCCCTGGTGTAACGCAGGCCACGAATAGATACACAGGCAAGCCCCTGGTGTAGATGTGGCAACTTATAGATACATAGACAATCCCCTGGTATAGATGTGGCAACTTATAGATACACAGACAAGCCCCTGGTGTAACGCAGGCCACGAATAGATACACAGGCAAGCCCCTGGTGTAGATGTGGCAACTTATAGATACATAGACAATCCCCTGGTATAGATGTGGCAACTTATAGATACACAGACAAGCCCCTGGTGTAACGCAGGCCACGAATAGATACACAGGCAAGCCCCTGGTGTAGATGTGGCAACTTATAGATACATAGACAATCCCCTGGTATAGATGTGGCAACTTATAGATACACAGACAAGCCCCTGGTGTAACGCAGGCCACGTATAGATACACAGGCAAGCCCCTGGTGTAGATGTGGCAACTTATAGATACACAGACAATCCCCTGGTGTAACGCAGGCCACGAATAGATACACAGGCAATCCCCTGGTGTAGATGTGGCAACTTATAGATACACAGACAAGCCCCTGGTGTAGATGTGGCAACTTATAGATACACAGACAAGCCCCTGGTGTAACGCAGGCCACGAATAGATACACAGGCAAGCCCCTGGTGTAGATGTGGCAACTTATTGATACACAGGCAAGCCCCTGGTGTAGATGTGGCAACTTATAGATACACAGACAATCCCCTGGTGTAACGCAGGCCACGAATAGATACACAGACAAGCCCCTGGTGTAGATGTGGCAACTTATAGATACACAGACAATCCCCTGGTGTAACGCAGGCCACGAATAGATACACAGACAAGCCCCTGGTGTAGATGTGGCAACTTATAGATACACAAACAAGCCCCTGGTGTAGATGTGGCAACTTATAGATACACAAACAAGCCCCTGGTGTAGATGTGGCAACTTATAGATACACAAACAAGCCCCTGGTGTAGATGTGGCAACTTATAGATACACAAACAAGCCCCTGGTGTAGATGTGGCAACTTATAGATACACAAACAAGCCCCTGGTGTAGATGTGGCAACTTATAGATACACAGACAAGCCCCTGGTGTAGATGTGGCAACTTATAGATACACAAACAAGCCCCTGGTGTAACGCAGGCCACGAATAGATACACAGACAAGCCCCTGGTGTAGATGTGGCAACTTATAGATACACAGACAAGCCCCTGGTGTAACGCAGGCCACGAATAGATACACAGGCAAGCCCCTGGTGTAGATGTGGCAACTTATAGATACACAGACAAGCCCCTGGTATAGATGTGGCAACTTATAGATACACAGACAATCCCCTGGTGTAACGCAGGCCACGAATAGATACACAGGCAAACCCCTGGTGTAGATGTGGCAACTTATAGATACACAGACAATCCCCTGGTATAGATGTGGCAACTTATAGATACACAGACAAGCCCCTGGTGTAGATGTGGCAACTTATAGATACACAGACAAGCCCCTGGTGTAGATGTGGCAACTTATAGATACACAGACAATCCCCTGGTGTAACGCAGGCCACTTATAGATACACAGACAAGCCCCTGGTGTAGATGTGGCAACTTATAGATACACAGACAAGCCCCTGGTATAGATGTGGCAACTTATAGATACACAGACAATCCCCTGGTGTAACGCAGGCCACGAATAGATACACAGGCAAGCCCCTGGTGTAGATGTGGCAACTTATAGATACACAGACAAGCCCCTGGTATAGATGTGGCAACTTATAGATACACAGACAAGCCCCTGGTGTAACAGTGGTCACGTTTAGATACACAAACAAGCCCCTGGTGTAGATGTGGCAACTTATAGATACACAGACAAGCCCCTGGTGTAGATGTGGCAACTTATATATACACAGACAAGCCCCTGGTGTAACGCAGGCCACGAATAGATACACAGGCAAGCCCCTGGTGTAGATGTGGCAACTTATAGATACACAGACAAGCCCCTGGTGTAACGCAGGCCACGAATAGATACACAGGCAAGCCCCTGGTGTAGATGTGGCAACTTATAGATACACAGACAATCCCCTGGTATAGATGTGGCAACTTATAGATACACAGACAAGCCCCTGGTGTAACGCAGGCCACGAATAGATACACAGGCAAGCCCCTGGTGTAGATGTGGCAACTTATAGATACATAGACAATCCCCTGGTATAGATGTGGCAACTTATAGATACACAGACAAGCCCCTGGTGTAACGCAGGCCACGAATAGATACACAGGCAAGCCCCTGGTGTAGATGTGGCAACTTATAGATACATAGACAATCCCCTGGTATAGATGTGGCAACTTATAGATACACAGACAAGCCCCTGGTGTAACGCAGGCCACGAATAGATACACAGGCAAGCCCCTGGTGTAGATGTGGCAACTTATAGATACATAGACAATCCCCTGGTATAGATGTGGCAACTTATAGATACACAGACAAGCCCCTGGTGTAACGCAGGCCACGAATAGATACACAGGCAAGCCCCTGGTGTAGATGTGGCAACTTATAGATACACAGACAATCCCCTAGTGTAACGCAGGCCACGAATAGATACACAGGCAATCCCCTGGTGTAGATGTGGCAACTTATAGATACACA